CGACAAAAAATTATTCGTTATTTTAAGCATGAACGAAAAGTGTATCATAAAATAGCCTTTGTATTCTAGCTTTAGTGCGCACAGAGCGTTCTACAAATTTTCGAACTTCCCCTCGACCGAGGTTTTTCTACGAAACAATTTTCTACATTTTTTACTCGTATCTTCACGTGGAACAACTTCCTGTCGATTTTCTTCACCGCATTCCACCGCGTTGATTGAACGAGAGCGTACTGTATAGATCTTTCGTCGTGAAGTTCGTCTAAAAGGAACTTTCGAATGCACAATTTTGTACTAACAGTTACACCATGTGCATCCTAGGGCCCGTCTTCGACAGAGACCACTTCCTCGGGGTTTCCAATGGATTGCAACGCTTTACCGTCGCATTTTCCGTTCGATCGATGCTCGAACTCGATGCTCATAACCGACTCAATATTTCTCGGTTCGCACCGACTTTAAACGTCTCCTGAATTCGTACGATCTAGGACCTCGAGATCTCGCGCGATCTCGGGATATTAAAAAATCCACACGCTGGTTCGGTAACATCGTAAAATTCTATTTTATTGCGGAACAGTCTGATATCCATGCTTGCATAAGAGTCGACAAACTACGTAATGTCGGACAAAGTCTACATGGGGAAATAGAACAGACAATTTGGATAAGGAAACAAAGACGCGACAAATACGGATTATCTACAGAATTAACGGTTTACGGACGTTTATTATACATTTCTTTGTGTTGTTCGCGGAAAACTATTGGTTCGTATAGATTTCGGCAGTTGGAGCTTCGAAAACGAAGAACTAGGAAACGAGCAGAACAAAAAAGTCAAAATGAAATTTTAATATCTAGCAATATCTGTAGAATTCAATATCCGTCGAATTGACGAGTTCCCTAGACCCAATACATATTAACCCTTTGCACTCCAGTCACCAAATGATTTGACACGGGAGAACTATAAACTTTGATATATAATATTAAACTTTATGCATCAATATACGAAATATTGAAAGAATATAGTTCTCTTCCTCGAGCATGTGAGATTTCTTAATTCAGTCTAAGAAAATGTCGTCTATTAGAAAATATTGAATATTTCCGGTGAAAAGTTTCTGGAGTGCAAAGGGTTAACACTGAAACTACCAGGCGGCTGAAATTGACCAATATTATCATTTTCTAAGCATTTCAATTCTAAAAACGTTTCTGCAATAGATTTGAAACTAAATTTGTCTATATAGACACAAGACCAGGAGACTTCAAATCTCAAAGAACACATCGCTCTAATTCCATGAAAAAATTCAAGATAAATCACCTAAATTGCTCGGTAGTTTCAGCGTTAACATTCCCACACTTGGAGGCCGCTACCAACGACTTTTCCTCGGCAAATACACAGCAGTCCCCGGCAGGACATCCGGACAGAGGGCATTCCGTTATCCTTTCCGGGCGAGGTAGGACGCGAGGTTGGTTCAACGTCCAAGGAAACATCGCGAACACAATTAACGATGCTTGCTTAAAGATCAAAGCGACTCGGAAGAAGCCAGCCCGGAGTTACTCGGGCCGCTAATTAACGGGAGTTAATACTAATTAATAGAAGCGTTCCATCCGCAACAGCGAGTGCCGACCCCAGTTATTCCTAGCGGCGGAGTTCGCGTCGCGCCGCTCCGCGCCGCGGACGCGCCGGCGAGAAGTTCGAAAGACGCATCCGAGATATCCCGGAAATTCGTGGAGCGTGACGTTGTTCCTTGTTACAGCCGTGTTTAACTGCCAGCGCGATCCTTAATTATCCGCGTCAGTGGGAATTAGTCGGCGTCTCGCGGAGTCGAACGGAATTTATTCGGCTTGCTCTCGCGCGGATCACGCTCCGCGTGATATCCCTCTCCCTCTCCCTCCCTCTCTCTCTCTCTCCCTCACTTTCTCACTCTCCTGAGTCGACTTAACAAAGTCACGGCGCAACGAACCGTTATCGTTGCACCAGCGAGTTTGCAGATCCGCTGGAAATTGGGATCGCGGCTCGTTCGAAGCGCGACGACGACGGGAGGCTGAATCGGATCGCTGCGAGAAGAAATCGCGATGGAGGGCCCCGGCCACTCGAGTTGTTTACCCAACGGAATAAAGGAACGGTATAACCTGTTGAGGTAGCGGATGGATGAAGAGTGGCTACTCGCCATCGAGAACGCCGGCTCCGACCCGCGCGGAGTTTATTTCCGGCCCCAGCGACGCGACGCGACGCTGCATGACCAAACGGTCGTTTCCCGAAGAAAACTCGATAACTTGGAAAGTACACGGAAACATGATTTAGACAAACGTTGTACAGCTTTCGTTGCATTATGGGGATCTTGTAATGTGCTTTCAGTAATTATGAGTACTGTGTGCTACGATTCAAACGTTATACAAGTAGAGAAATGCAATCGATATGCTTTGTTCGAGCTTGTAGGCGTTTGCACGTGGTGTGCCGACTTATAAACTTATACTTCTCGAAGGACCACCGAATGATCGGGGACGAAACTTAGAAAATGAGTGGGTGCTAAGGTGAACTTGGTTCTTGTGGTGATTGTTACGTTCTAATGTTGTATCTGTGATCTGACTTCCTGCTGTCTGTCAGGGTACGAACGAGACCCTAATTATTGCACTTCGTGCCGTCTAAATTTATTGTCGAAGGACCACCCAATTTTACACGGAATGGGGCCGTAATGCTGTGCTTATAGGTTTACACAACTCAGTTTATAAAACTGTTTCGGAGTTGCTGAAAGGTTATATTAAAAATTGTTCGGAGCGCAAAGGGTTAAGATTCTAATTCTTCGAATGAAAATCTTTTTGTACAGGACTAACGCATTGGTAACACTCAAGTTTCATTATGTAAGTAGAATTTCGAGGTTTGTCCACAGGCGACCGCACTGTGCGCCTTGAACCCTTCCCAGCCGGAAAGCCCGGGAACGGAGGTCCGCGAGACGATCGTCGCGACGCAATAAGGGAATAAGTAATCGGGAAGGGAGGCGAGCTCGAGATTCCTTCGAGCACGAACACCGAGGATTACCGAGGAGCAGGGAGGGTGAGAAGCACCGGGGACCGAATCGCTTGATTCGCTCGTGAGATCCAATCGCCTGGGAACAGGATACTAACCTGTTGAGGCGTCAAATGGACGAGGGCGTAGAGTTTTTTCGAGGAGATCCCGGGATTCCCGTCGTCTCCGCGGTTATAGGAATGGTTGCGCGCCTGGGAGATTCCCTAAATCGCTCCGAGGACTCCGAGTATTTCCGGGACTACGATTTCAGGCGAATTTCTGTCGAGTGCGGATCGTACGTTGTCGAAGTTTTAACCTTTCGCGATAGTTCGACCAGTTTCTGCGATCCATTTTGCAACTAACGCGACTGTCACGAGCGAGCTTCGAGATTGAAATTTCGGGTTTAAATTAAATCAATTCAGCTTTAAATCTACAATTAATTATACGTCTGTCGACATTTTCCACATTGTGCGTTCAGGATGTTTAAAACTTGTAACGCGCGTTACAGCCTCGCGGACGATAACAAACGCATTCTTCCGTGTAATAGTCTTTTAATGGGATTCGTGGGTTGAATACTTCATTAGCGATCGAGTAATTGGGGACGAACTCGTACGAAATCGTTTGTACAACGCGAAACCGACGTCGATCGAAAACAGTTATACAACTTCTCGTTCGGCAATCCGGTGCATACGCAACCGCTCGCCCCGGGAAGTTCGATGAATTGTTCGGTACCGATTCGTTGTAACGTAGGCGCCGTTATCGAACGGCTGAGTGTGAATCTTAGACTCTCAGAAGGGTTTAAGTGGAAATCCAGGCGGTTTCCGCGACGCGCGATACAATCGAGGTCGAGGAAATGGAACCGATTGGTAGATGGAATCTAATGGAGGAAGCGGTGCCGGCGCTCCGTCGAGAGAGTAGACGCGCGTAGAAAGCGGTGTGCGCACAGTGTAATGTGCAATATCGTGTATATTTGTAGTGCACAGTGCCGCCGTCGTAATACCTTCATTCCGAACGAATCTATCCAATGGTAAGGCTGATTACGTGAAACGCCGCTATTTATCGGCGAGCCGTGCATCAAATTAATTAAACAACTCGTTCGTCGTAACTGAAACGTTCGTTATACACATCGACATTACCAAACGTTCAGCAATGTTCAATATACACAGTCGGCAATTGTTTTGCATCTACCGTAGTTTGAGTGCTTCTACAAATCTATTAGATTCAACGTTCAGCAAGAGAGAGAATTTATATAACTTTCCAAAGTTACCCCTCGAGACCAATAATTCTTCACTTCACCGAACTCGGAAGATCCTTCAGATTGAAATATTATAATCCTCAAAGTCTAATAAAGAATTTCAAGTGATAGAACGATCTCCCATCGCGTCGAGAGTTTCTCGAGTGACCAACATAACGATAGATCATCATCTCGAGGTGCAAGGATCCATGCTAACACATTGCGCGTCGGCCTATCGTTCTATTGCTAGCCTTACATTAATGTGACAGTACAGAGTAAAATTACAAAATCGAATTCCTTGTTACAACTTCAATTTGACGTTTAACACGTTGGATGCCGGTGACCTCAACCAAATCGAATTACTATAATTTCTTCAATTAAACGATGATTATTTGGAAACTTTTCTGTATTGGTAACACTACCTAATGCAGTGACATTCAACAAGATAAACCTGCAACAATAACGCATTTCAATTACATAATTTGATATTAGATTATCTTCATTTCGTAAATTTTTCTCGGTAAAAACGTGGCACCCAACGTGTTGAAAATGTATCAAAATATACTCGCTTCTAGTAGCTGAAATTTATCCGGCGTGCAATGTGTCAACGCATCACGCGATTCGATTTCCTGGGATAGGAGCAACCAAAGCAATGTTTTGGTGCAGAGCAGCCAAAGAATGATTGTACTGCTATGTGCGGAGGGAGGGAGAGAAGGAGAGAGGCGAAAGTGGCTGGATACGGGCACAAGGATCAACCGAGTAGCAGAAACTAACCTGTTGAGCCGCTAGGTGGATCGAGAGGCTACTTATAATAGAGACTTCGAGTTCGACCCTCTCGGAGCCGGCCGTGTTGTTGGCGTGACAGACGTATCGTCCGGCGTCCTCGGCCCTGGCCGATTGCAGCACCAGCACGCCCTCCCTGGCGTGCACCCTCTCGGAATTGAAGATCATCGCCGAGCCGGACACCGACTCGCGAAACCACAGGTACATCGGCGGCGGTATGCCTTGGGAGATGCAGGACAGCACGATCGTCTCCCCTATCCTGATCGGCGCCGGGCTCACTCGCTCGTTGAACCTTGGCGAGACTGGGTTTCGATGTTCTGCAATGTGTGAGAAGGAACGCTTTAATATTGGAGTCTCGGTACATTGATTGTTTGGGTTACATTTTAACTTCGTGGATTTTTGGATGATCGAAGTTTGAACGATTCTGTCTTTGTTGTGTGTGGTCTTGGGGTGTTCTGATTTTTATTTGATTTTGAACTGGAATTTAACCGCTAACCCTTTGCGGACGAAGATTCTTTGAAATGTACCGAACCTTCAACAGATGAAGCTAAATTATAGATCGATTGTGTAATTGATAGAACGAAAGGAAACTGCGTGCTGATCTCTCGCTATTCGAGTAATTAAATCATTTTTACGACTTAGTCTTCGAAATATGAAAACTTCATCTCACTTCATCTCGCCGGAAATGCATGGTAGGTTTATTTAGTGGGTACGATGTCGTGTTTACGTGGTGAGTATCATTTTATTATTTTTATCACATATATATTTATTATTTACCACGTATAGGAAAGTAACTTTGAAAATATATGTTTGCTTCGACTAGTAGGTACTGTCACCAGAAAAATGTGCCGATCGGAAAGAGTTGACACTAGAATTACCGAGCACTTGGACTTTTGAAAATTTTATTATGAAAAATACAAAGGTGGATTTATTAAGATTCGAATTGGTTTAAATTGCAGCTTAGGTGTTAGTTTCTTTAGTGATTTCTTAAAGAGGTATTCGTACCTCTTCGGTAATCGCTAAGGAAGGAATTGAGGAAATCATTTTGGTCTATTTGGTAGGTCTAGTTTTAAGCTTTAATGATTGACTGTTTTTTTAGGGACGATCACTCCACTTATAGAGCAAGAGACTGTTGACAACGTGTAGAGGAAGCTTTGATAGGACTATTGACCTTTTGCACTCTGAGCAATCTCTGATGTGACCTCTCAGTAGCTCGAAGCTCCAGGGGTATTTACGGTAATCCCAAAGTGTACTTTATCATCAAAAGAAACGTGTATAATTCAAGTCACTCGTCTGATAAAGATGAATTTGATGTCGTTCCTCAACCATCGACGAGCATCATGTAAATGCAATATCGATTATTTAAGTATTGACCAGAGAAATTAATCGAGTGCCCTTTCATCCGACCAGTTACAAATCGATTTCAAATCGAAACATTTCCCCGCCACTTGAAGAACTTCCATTTCATCGAGTGAAACGGAATACAGTAGTCGAAAGATAATGGCGAATATTACGAGGATTGGAATACCTTCTTTTCGAATTATCGTTCAAAAGAAAATTATTAAGTTCTTTCTTGATAAAGCACGGCCATCGGGAAACCAATTAATTGGTTTCCGATAGGCGAAGTGTTAAGTATTCAGATATACGTGTCTAAATTCTCGAAACCGATGGTAAAAAGTTTCTCGGCGAAATTAACGAGGAAAAAGAGAGGAAGGGAAAAAAGGGGTAGAAAGAGAGAGGAAGAGAGAGAGAGAGAGAGAGAAAGAGAAAGAGACGAACGGACGATAGGAATAGAGATAAAGGAAACGATATTCGTTGATTTCATTCCGCGCCGTCGTCGAACTGCGCTCGATCAAAAAATGAGCGAACGTTTCGCTTTGATTCACAGCCCGGCAGCCGCTCCCCCCTGCCGCGGACAATTAGCTTCTCGCCGCGGGAACGACGAAAGTTCGCTATTGGAAAGTTGGAAATTGACGTGTTATTTCAAGCCGTGCGGCCGCGGCGCGGGTTTTACATCGTCGACGAGGCGTTTCGCCGTGGCGAGCGTGGCCGGACCATTTCGACGGGAACGAGCCCGAGCGGCCATTGAATCGCGAGCGCAAAAACGACGCCGGTGCGAACGTGATTCCCCTGTTTCGTCGATTTTCCTTGAGCCGTCCCCGTCGCGCGTCGCTCGACAACGCGAGATACATTTCGAATCTGCCGGTCACCGGAGAAAGAAATCGCCCGGGACTCGTTGAAGAAGACAAAGATCTCCGTATCAATTTTTTATCGCCACTGAGAAGCTCCTTTTGTCCCCTTACGTATTATATGAGCTGGTGCGGCTCGGCGAATTTACATTTATTTCCTTCCTTCCGCCTCTTCCTCATCTTCCTTCACTCTCTCTCTCCTTCTCTCTCTCTGTCTGTCTTTGTCTCCCCGTTCGCCTTCCTCGCTCGTCCTGTTTCATTCATTTGCGCCATACCCCCGCGTTACTTTTCCCCGATGTAATTACACGTCACGCCAGTTCCAGGATCCCTTTATTATCAATTCCGAACGGTTTCTATCGTGCAAAATGTAAACCTGTAGCTCCGAGTGTCGTTCGAGCGTGCTCGACACTCGCCGCAACATCGCGTGCCATCAGCGTCCCATCGATCGTGTTACGTTTAAATTACTGACAGCTAATTGCACGCTAAAATAACAATCCTCTTCGTCTGACGGACGCGCGTCACGGTTGCTCGATCGGCCGGCGAGGGGCTGAGCGGTCTTGGTAACCGGCGGTCGCAACATTCGCCCGCTCGCCAATTATAGGAACAGCCGTGTCTTCCGTCTCCTCGCTGACTTTCGCCTTTCACCGTACGATCCGGCTAATCGATCGCTCGAAACATCATTTTTGTACAGACCATAAAACGACAAATGATACCCAAATGATAACCGCATTTCGCGATGCTCGACTGATCCTCGTTGAAAACGGAGCAGCCGAATATGAAGCTGAACCTTCCAGAAAGAACAATATACAATTTAAACCAATTAAATCGCTGAACGCGAACAATGCGGCGGGGTACAGCCGCGCAAAAAGCTACTACCGAATTAATAAACGGCGTGCCTGGAGGACGCCGGTAAATGACGCGCAACGCCAAATACTGGAAAACATATTGATCCGAACGGACCACAGAGAAATAGCCTCGGTGCCCGACTTTCCCAGAATTTTTACGACACCGCCGGCCGAACGAGAATTGTCCCCGGTCACCGGCCACCCCCGCACTATGTATTTTAACAGGGGGGCGCGAAGAGAGGCGACACTCCCGTTAAATCCGACCGAGAAACCCGCCCGGAAACGGCCATCCAATTCCCCGGCATCTTGGGCCTTAATGGCGGCCGGGAATTAATGGACATTTTATTTCTGTTTTTAGGAACGCTTAAACGCCGGACGGTGTTTGCCGAATAGTTCGACCCCGCGACGCCGGAGCTTTTCACGGCACCACTATTTTATAATGGCCGCGGTCTCTTTGTCTGGTCCGCGTTATTATTGTAATTTAAGCTGATGGCGCATTGATCGTCGCTTGCCTCTCTCCTCCCTCGCACTTCATTCTCTCTCCCTCTCTCTCTCTCTCTCTCTATCTCTCTCTCTCTGGATCGAGCTTTCTCGTTGCCTCTGAAACGCTCTCGCTCCCTCCCGCGCCTCGTCCTGCCGCTCTCTCGCACCGGCGGGCTAATTCCCCGTCTTCGTCGCGCTCGCGAGCAATTCCAGTTGCCATATTCCAGCGACGCCCCGCCACCACACCCTTGTTCATGCCGCCGCCACCGCCGCGCCGGTTGCACCGGCTCGTGCATATGCACGCTCAAAACTTTTTATGCCATTTACATCCGACTTGCGCCTCAACGTCAGCTTCGTTCCTGTTGACGTCCGCGCGCCGCTGCCGGCAGGCGGCGAACGAAAAAAAAGAGAAAATACGAGGAAAAAAAGAGAGCGCGCAAGCGAGAGGGAGGAACGGAAGAGGAAAAAGTAACGCGCGGTCGGTCGATAACCGAATCGAAAGGATCCGTTCGACGACGACGACGACGACGACGACGACGGCGGCGGCGACGAATTGTTCGTTAGCGCGTTAATAACTCCGACGTCGCGCTCTTTGTTCCCGGCTTCCCGTTCCGCGGCATTAGCCTGTTAATGCGTCGATCGATCGAGCCGGTGCGTGTGCTCGCTTCCTGAGTTATACGGGATCCGCTCCCGACGAGCGCCGAGCGAAAGTTGACGGTTCTCGAGGACAATTTCGCGCGACCGGCGATAACTCGGAATTCTGCGCTGGACTCTCGATTTGACCGCGGATCGAGTCGACGGCAGGAACGTTGTCTCGGTAGACCGTGGGAAATATGGATTGCAATTCAACTGTTGTTGTCGCTGCAAGAGTCGGATGTTTCTCTTCTGACGCGCGGACGCGCGCTTTAAAGTTCGTCGCCGGTCGGAGGCAGAGGAACGCTTAGGCGGATTTAACTTCTAAGGATTATTTCGCGGAGAATAACACTTTGATAGTCGGATTTCTTCTGATGTTCACACTGCGCTGCGTTGATTTCCGAGAATACTTTTGATAGTCGCTTGTGTAGGATTTGATATTACGTTCCGTGCCACGGAAGTTTCGGTCATATTTCGCTTATGAACTGTATTAATTTTTTGAATAAAATATTAAGTTATATTCAAGTTATTTTCTAACCTTTAGCACTTCAGATGGTTTTGTAATTTATCAAACTGCGACTAATTTTCATGGTATCTCTAGTGAAAATGAAAAATGCTGTAACATTCCTCCGATTTTTTATTTTCCTTATCAGTGCGAAATTTGGATGTGTGGAGAATCTAATAATTTTAGGGTGGTTTCTTTGATTCGTTAAAATATTTGATATTATAACTGGTGCCTACGGAGTAGAAAGGGTTAATTTTATATATTTTGTTATCGTTTCTTGATGTTTTCGGTGCTTTGTAATGTATACAGCTATTCTTGACCTTGTGTCCCTTAAAAATATTTTGTTACGTGTACCACATGTGGTACGTGAACGTGTTAATAAGAGTTTATTGAACTAGATAATTAATAAATAAGGTAACCTAAGTCATAACCTAAGTCATGCATTGATCGATCGATCGACAGGCATTTTCCACTTCTATATTTATCAGTTATACACGTCGGAACTATTGTTATTTCACCCGGTACCGCCGCGTTAAATTTGCACACTATTTTCGGGTACAGCAGAGTTTATCGAACAAATGAGTAAGTTTCCGTGGGGGATTTCGATTGAAGTCGGGGTAAAGAGTTTCAAAATAAACTGCCAAATGCAAGTTTCCGCTGAG